TCGCTGATATACCACAGTTTATGCTCCTTGGTCAACTCATCTTGAACCAACTCAGCATCAACCTCGGTTTTGGAAAGCATGCGCTCGACAGTAAGACTTCGCAAAGAAGACTTCATTCAACCTATCTCTGACCTTCTGGCTAGTTGACTTCAGCCACTTCGAACGTATCACGTACTATGGCGCATCCGCGCTCACCTTTTCTATCACGGGCATCATCCTTAGCAAGATCTCGTTCGGGCTCACCTTGCTTCGGTTGACTGACGGATGGCTGAAGGCCTACGTTTGGTTCGCTATCGCTACCCTTGCCTTATTCGCAATACCAGTTGCGGTCCTCCCCTGGGTACTGTGCAAGCCAATAACGAAGACCTTTGTTGATATCCTTCCCGGCACATGTATCGACAAGGAGCCTTCCGTAATATACGGAAGATTCCAGGCTATATGGGCTGCCATCATGGATATTTCTCTAGCATTGTTGCCTTGGAAGGTCCTCTGGAATCTACAGATGCGCACCGCGGAGAAGATCGGAGTTGGTGTTGCCATGAGTCTGGGTATCTTGGCGGGAGTCACATCTATTCTCCGAGCCAGATACGTCGAACAGCTCCAGACCCAGGATCTTTCCTGTAAGCTATTGACGCTCTCTATCTGAAACGAGCTAACCAAAGCAGACCAAGCGTATAACTCCGTCATTTGGTCAACAGCAGACACGGCCATGACTGTTGTTGCCACGTCCATCCCGGTACTACGTGTCTTCTTCAAGCAAGCGGTCAACACGGCCATCTCACATTACCACAACTCAACCAACCGAAGCAACAAATCGAAATCTACTGGAACTGGAAGCACTCCTTCCAACCCTTCCAACAACGCAAGCACACTTGCGAATCAAAGTGCACGACGATTGAACAAGAACACATCACGTACATTGGAGAACACGAGCACAGATTCATTATTCAAAGACGACGACCTGGAGCGTGGCCCCAAGGAGGGTTACATTGAGTTGGACGATCTCATTGTTGACGAGAAGACTGGAAGGGTTTCGGCCGCAACACCCGAGTCATTGCCAGAGTCCATGTCACGGGCGCACCTACACGGTGATGATTGGCCCTTGGCAGACCATATTCAGACGCACATAGAAGACATACGGAGGTTGTAATGGAGCTTACGGGTAATTGACAATCACGAATAATGCCATAACGAAGATGTTTGCTCACCAATTCTCGGCCGCGAATTGGCATCACCCTGAATTCATTCTCCATGACTACTGTTGAGTCTTGTTAATTATCCTAGCCATCGCATTACTTTCTTCGAGCATTCAGAACATGAGTAATGAGAGGCGAGAGGACCCTGAAGACCGACTCTCGTCGGAGTCTTCTCATTCGCCTTTGCCCGGTTCCTGACTCCGCTCCCTTCCGGCTAGCGGCATCTGATCTACAGGCCCGCCTCCACGCTGCGGCAGGTTCCCAGGTAGCGCCACTGCACGCCCACCACCATGACAACGCCTAGCGTCCCCGGATCCCAAATCGCACTATGCGCGCATCAGGGGCCTTGTCGCCCTTGCGACCGATGGGATCGGAATCATCTACCGACCAATCGAAGATGACGTGATGAGTCGACCGACATTAGTCGATATCTTAATCGATGTCTCTAGCATGTCAGGCGCATATTCAAGGCTGCACCACCACTCTCTTTTCCTAACTTCGGCCCTTCCGTCGGTCGTTCATTTGTAGAACAGAGTCATTGTTCTACGCTCGCGCAGAAGGTTTGCCATCTCATCAGCGACGTACATGATCTCAGCACGATGATCAGGCACACCACTCCTGAATTAAACTTCCGCTACGAAATTCGCCATGGTTGATTGGTGGCGTCCATGTCATTCGCCGTGAACACCTCAGACTGTTCGCATATAATAGACCTTCAACTGCCAAATTGCTTTTCACCCGTCACCGATACATACGCTCCTTAGTCTTTGTATAGTTTCAGTCGCAAGCATGAAGGCATCCATTCTATGCGCTACGCTCCTTTCATCGGCAGTTCTTGCCTTCCCCGCCAACCTCCTCAACAACCTCCCTGCTGATCTCAGCGATGAGGGGCTCGCAGAGATCACAGAGCTGGCGGCAAAAATCACCAGAGCGGTCGAGGATATGCCGGCCAACTTGGCCAAGCGACAACTTGGTGCTAGCATCCTACCACCGGGATTCGATGCGGATGCTCAACGCATCAGCACCACGGGTGAACACCGTTATGTAGGTGGACTCTTGGGATGGAAGACTTGTTCTTGCATCAATTTCTAACACGTCCACCTACAGATTGCACCAGGCAAGAATGATCTTCGCGGACCTTGCCCAGGTCTGAACGTCATGGCGAACCATGGCTATCTCCCCCGCAATGGAATCGCATCCGTCACGCAGTTGACTACTGCATCGAACGAAGGTACGCATGTTGTCACTGGATTGTCAGCCAAATTGCTCACAGCGCCGTAGTTTTCGGTATGGGTCTCGAGCTCTCCGCTTTCCTGTCAGTCCTTGCTACCGTCATGGGCGGCGACATTGTCTCGTCTTCCATCGGTGGCCCGCCCAGTGGGGGCCTGCTTGGTGGACTCACCACGGGACTTGGTCTCGTTGGAAAGCCGCAGGGTATGAGCGGGACACACAACCGTTTCGAGGCTGATTGCTCTCCCACACGAGAGGACCTGTACAAGAACGGCAACCCGGTGTCCCTCAATCTCCCTCAGTTCGAGGAACTGATGGCCATGCCTATCGGCCCCAACGGCTACGACCTCACTGTCATGCATCCTTTCCGTGGCTCTAGATACAACAACTCCGTCGCTACCAACGGACACTACTGGGCTGGACCTCTGACCCACTACGCTATCAACACTGCGACCTACCTGTTCACCTTCCACTTCTTCTCGAACCACTCTGCAGATTACCCATCAGGTTATCTCGACGGAGAAACCCTCAAGTCGTTTGAAGGCGTCACAGGACAGAAAGGCAGCTTCAAGTGGGCTCGTGGTCAGGAGAAGATTCCCGAGAATGTAAGTTTGCTCTGCATGCATCATCAGCGGTCGAAACGTACTAACACCTACTGCAGTGGTACCGCCGCGCCATTGGTGATGACTACGGGATCGCAGCCTTCACCCTCGATGCCGTAGGCGCACTCCAAGCTCTTCCCTACATGGCCGTCGTCGGTGGCAACACTGGCGAGCCCAACACCTTCACTGGCGTCAACATCGCCGATCTCACTGGTGGTGTCTTCAATGCCGAGACCCTGCTCGAAGACAACAATCTCATGTGCTTCGCATTCCAGGCTGTCAACTCCGCCAGTCCGGATATCTTGAAGGGTCTCCTCGGCAATGTTCTGCTTGCTGTGCAGAAGTTGACTGATGCCCTGAATCCTATCCTTGCAAAGCTTGGCTGCCCTGATCTTGCCAAGTACGACAAGTCTTTGCTTGCCAAGTTCCCGGGTGCGGGTGCTGGAATTTAGTTGGGTGTGAGAGGATGACTGCTATATGATACCAATAACTACTTCACTTCATATAGTGTACTAATACATACGTAATGAATATCATCAAGACTTAATGAAGCGCAAAGCCAAGTTCCCATTGATCTTCGCGTCGAAACGTGGCACATCCCTTCCGTCTCTTGTCTTCACGATGTCTCTTCATAAGGGGATAACGCTGAACAGCGTAGTGAAGTATTGTGGACAACAGAGATCATAGACTGAATGTGTGGAAAAGTAGAGCAGTCCAGATCCAAGAGAATCATGAAACTGGAGTCGGATTGTGGCTGAAACCGGCCGTCATTGCACCGAACCCCTTCGCGGGCGTACAATCGCGTCGGGAGGACATACCATCGAAGAAGCCGGCGCCTCTGTCATTGGCACGATGCTCAGCTGCTGAGAGCGTGCATTCGCGACGCGCGAACATTGTAGTTGAGATGATCAGAGGCCACCTCAGCGGGTGGGGCCAATTTTGGGAGCTATGACCCTTTTGTGGCGTCGTCCCCTCCTTCCAGCCTGTGCATACTTCAATCAACATCAGTACCCACCATACTACCATCATCATCGCAAAGTATGTCGATAAAGTGCTCCAATAAGCCCTAGACCGCCGCCTGGATTTCAGGCTGTTACAGCGATGTCCTGTCTAAGGCTGTCTTCTTGTTCTTTCGCCTTCGACAGCTTGCCCCCGTGTCTCGAAAAGCCAACCCCACCTGGGGAGCCCTCGAAAGAGCGTGAACAGCTGGACACTGAACGGCCTACCAGACATCTTGCTCTTATCGGTAGCTTTGCGATAGCCGACCGACTCTTGGCATGCTGTTCACGAAGCCGCTTAGGTGAATTCTTGCTCGAACGCCCGGGCGGCCTCTCAAGCGTGCCCTTCCTCCCGGACGGCATGGAATCCGAGCAACGGCAGATCACGGGCAGAAGATGGCGAGAAGGTTACCACGAGAAGAGACATCCAATCTAGTCAGGATGCGCCTCGAGTCCGTCCAAGACATCCGCATCGTATGTTTTGCGCACTTGGCGAACGAAACCCCGAGACAAATTAGCGATGCGTACCTTGGACTCATCAACCTTTGCACCCATGCTCATGCTAATTCGGGATGTACACTTCGCAACTAGATCGTTCATTTGAGCTGGATGTCTACAGCGTCGTTGAGGCGCAATGCTTCCAAGGCGCCGAGTCGGCTGTTGGTGTTGGCCAAGGTGCGCGAAACTCTGCACGCGTTACAAAGGTGTCGGCACAACAACTTCCAGGCCAACACCAAGCCTTGGTGCTAAGGCATCCACGTACGCTGTATCACCACATGTGGCGAGTATATAACGAGATGGAAGGGCCGCTATGTGAGGCTCGGTAGGAATAATTCGCTGTTGACCAGTCCTTTCTCAAACACACTCATTCATCCTTTCGCTTCTTCCAATTCTCTTCTACACGTTCTTTTGACAAGACATTTACCGCACACCTTTTTACCATACACGCTTTTTTTCCATCTCATTATACCATAATGTATACCGCTGCATTCATCACCATTGCGAGCCTGGCGCTTGGCGCAACCGCCGCGCCAGTCGCAGCATCCCCTCTCGACATCGGCAATGGTCACATGCAGCTACAGATCAACATCGACCTGACCGGTAAAGACGCTGTCGCAGCCAACGCTATCGATGCTCAGCAACTGTTCGCTTTCTCCTCAACGCACTTCGTTCATGCCGTCCCGGAGGAGGTCGTCAACGGCACCGAACCAACCGGTGGTCTCGCCGGCGCATCCGGCACCTTCAATTTCGGCATCAACAGCGCTTCCAACATGATCTGCTACAACATCACGCTACACAACTTCCAAGGCGAATTCGACTCCCCCGCGACTACGGCGACCCACATCCACGAGGCCGCGCGCGGTGCTAGTGGACCACCCAGAATCTCATTCCCGAACCCGGAGCTGGTAGAAGGAAGCGAGACAGTTAGGAACAGCGCAGGCTGTATCAAGGGCCCATTTACGACTGGTGTTATGGTTGAAGGAAAGGATTCAGGCGAGGGCTTCCATGTTAGCATGATTGAAGCCAACCCGGCGGCTTTCATGGCGGATACTCATTCGAGCTTGGCGCTACCTGGTGCGGTGAGGGGACAGATGGCATGATTGGACCGCTCATCTTGTCTCACCCAATAATTGTAATGCAAGCTCTTTACACGATATGACTGTATCTACAGAATGGCAAGTGGTAAGTCCTCAGAGTATCTATCGTCCACAGCAATCATACCTCTTCTTCAGTACTGTCCAGCTCATCATCTTCCATACCAATAGCAGGAATAATTTGAAATCTCACACCTCTGTGCATGGTCGTAACCCAGTACTTTGGCCACTCGCGAGTCCATGCCATCATCGACTTACTGGGCGGGCAGGGCTTCCGCTTTGCAGAACTTGAAAGCGCGTAGAAGAAATGATTCAACGTAATACCTTCAGGTTCATAGATCTTGTTGATTTTAGTTTCTCGCTGGTACGGGCGGCCGTCGTGTAGTCTATAGCTGACGTGAAACTCGATCTCCGTGAGCGGAGGCCAGGTCATGAACATGGTTCGCCATGATGCAGTCGGATTGGGCCATCCGTTTCGGCTGTTCACAGTACCAAGAAGGCTCCAGCGGTCGACAAATCCGATATCTGGGCTGTCGAAAGCGGCGATGGAGCAAAATCTTGGTCGCCCGAAGTGACTCAGTTGAGGATGCACGATGCAGTTGGCGAGTGCTTCCGTCTTGGTGGGATGGTTAGCACGATGTGTGTTCCACGTCCTCTCTATGAAGCGCTTTCTTTTGCTTGGATTCTTTTGCTTTTTTGCAGACTTGCTGTATCGGAATAAAGTCTTTGAGGTGTTTTGTCCGTCCCTGATCAGGTCACACCAAGCCTTTGAGACGCGCTCGCAGCGCAGCAGATCCTTGATGGGCAACATCGCAAGGCTCATCTCGAAGACCTCAGTGGGAAGTTGAGTGAGATCCATACTGAAGATGATTCTGCTTGGGATCCACGATGTAGTTTATACGAAGCAAGATGTTTGCTGGAAACGTTGCATAGCAATGTCTTGGGCCAGCTGATACCATCACACCTTGCCTAGCTAGTCTGCCTTTTCCAGCACAGCGACCTTATCCTCAGCTCTCCGCTCGAGAACCGCTCGTCTCCTAAGATACCAGATCTGCACAGCATATCCGACGACTAATGCCAAACCCAATACGAGCATAGGGACTAGCAGCCACCGAACAGTTTTCTATACATTACGATAGTCAGCATCTGGTCTTCTAATTTGATTTCTTGATTGAGTCTTACAGTCTCCACACACGCCAGCCTCCTTGCCGCATCATCCGTTGTCCGTATGACGGGCAGCATAACGCAGGTCGCTAGCTCACGCGTACATGTGAATTCGTCGTTGTATTTGGTCAACACTGTCGGTATTTGACAACGCTTCGATGACTGGTAATGCAAGATGGTGGACCATATCGCGGATGCAAGTGTGCTGGCGAACGATACAACTGCGAGTACCACAGTTGTAATGTACACGATGTTGCCTCGAAAGGGATGTTGCGAGTTCTGGATGCGTTGTAAGCACTGATCAAAATACAGCCATCACGAAGAATAGTACCTGTGTATCTTCTTCCATTATAGCTCTGGGCTTCGCTCGCATAACCCAGATACTCAGTACACTTGCCACGACGCCCAACACCGCTCTCGCAACGGCTAGTCTATCATATGTCTCGTTGTAATCCACAGCGATCCACTGCTGAGTCGTCTGCTGATCGTCATACGTCCCATCTGTTCCTCTCCAGATGTACCAAGCGTCAGCGGGGAAGTATTGAACCAGAAGCCATTTCGCGTGACCAGTGAGACCGAGCGTGCCAATGGATGCGACCAAGAGTAGAATGGAGCTTATGAAGAGTATGCGATGAGACAGGCTGGAACAGGGCATCTTGGAGTTGGAGCTGTGAACGTCGAAGGGGGCAGAAACGGGCGTCCGCGACGAAGAAGAGAAAGCAGAGTCCAAGTATGAGAGAATGGCCACAGTCTCGAAGAAATGAAATGCTCAGAGTTACTTCGTATTCATTGCTAGTATCACCGACTACCCACAGTCTCAAAGACCTGCGTTCGGCCAGACCTCGGAAGAGACGTACGTCCGTGGCTGTACCCTATCATACTGTGAGATATACGTCGATGGAAACCATGTCAGGAAATGAAGGACTACAGCCCCCTATCGTGTAGCGCATGTACGAAAAGAACCACAGCAACTGGACAGAATCTGATTCATGTCAGCTGTATGCGCAGCATCTACATTTGTCGGTGTTGATGTGGTGAGCAGGCTGGTCTATGGAGCGGCTAAATTGCCGGATCATGTCAGCACCGCGTTGATTTGCGGGGACCAGATCGAAGCCTAAATAAGCGCAGCAGCACTGCCACTTCGAGGCGCTGACTCGGTGTCAGTAGGGCCAGTTTTAGTGGCACTGCGCAGATGCTGCCTTGCTGACTGTCGAACATAGACTCAAAGTAAGGGTTGCATGCTTCGTGTGATCGGTGGGTGCGCTGTCATTCATCGCCATGGGGCAACTTCGTCTCGAGGCATTGGCTGAACGTCTTACCCCTATGGTTTGGGTTGACAGCTAGCAGCGGTACGTCAGCCGACCAGACGATGCATTACTGCCAAGGCAGTTGCATACAATACTACACCGCTGCCCCCTTGGCCACTTTTGTGGCCTATTCTGCGCTTCTCCCTGCTTTCCATCTTCATCGACGGCCCTCTACTTCGTGGACCAAGACGCCACCCAATTCGGCGGTGCCATGCTGCCCATCAAGTTCGCCTCCATTTATGGTGTGTCCGTATTTTGTCGCCGTGTGCGTATACGCTTGCGCATCAGGATATCCGTTCCTGGTCATCTCCGGCGTGCCATACGGATTGATAGAATCACCGTCGCTCGATGGGACAGAAGTACCAGCGGAGTGGCGCTTGGAGCGCTTGAGGATGTATAAGATGGCGACACCGGCGAATGCGATGACCGCAAGCCCCCCGACGACGCTTCCAGCGATCACGGATGTGTTGTTTAAACGACTGCTACCGCCAGCGGGTTGATCCTGCTCGCCGGCCGGGCTCGACGTTGGGGACGGGGTAGGTGCCGAGATGGACGGGTTGCTATTCGATGCAGGTATACTGGAGGCTGCCTGTTGGGACGCGACTGACGTTGAGTCCACTACAACACATTAGTAATAAGTCAAATATAGCATTTGCGCAATGTCACGTACCATTGGCCGGAAGCGCTTGGTAGAGTGTCGTCGACATCAACGGATGGCTGCCTGTCCAATCGCAGTAAATACGCGTGTACGCGTCGGAAGCGCCAAAGGTGGTGAACATAATGTCCGAGTAGCAAAGCCCATAGTCTCCGTCGCTGTTCAGCTGGTTAACATGGCGGAGTCTACGCGCAATACATACAGCTCAACTTACCAGGTACTAGTTACACCTCCAGACCCGTACACCGTTGTATGTGAGCAGCTTGTCCATGCCTCACAACCTGTCTTCGGTAAAGGAGAAGTCGTGGTAATTCCATCAACTTCGAAAGCGGATGACGCTTTGCACGATTGATACAGGCTGCCTGTTGTAAAGAGGTAGCCGTCGGATTGAGGGAAAGTCTTGATCGACCCTATTTCCAGGTCAGATAAGCGCATCTCGAGATCGAGCATGCATGCCAGTGCACTTACAGACTGGCTTATTATCTTGCGTGCCGATGAGCTCGTATCCCATAACCACGATGCCATTTGCAGGACCTTGCCTTGGGAGCATTGCAGGAGCTGTTGGTGCAGGCATTGGGGCATGTATCAGTGCCGCAGCAGCGACATTGATAGATACCATTCGCAAGAGGAAAGAAAACATGGCGATATATGGAGAGGGTCGTATGGCACAGAGCACCCAGGACATGCACTGCTCACGTCGGTGGAAGAAGAGCGACAGAGACGCTCTCAAGGTCCGCGACCTCGTCGCAAAGTGGGTTTTGTCTTTTGGACCCCAACCATCGTGTCATTTCAAGTACGCCCGACTATCACGACATCCTGGTCGTGTTCGACGGCTGTGAGTGGGTGCACGAGGCGCAGAAACACGATTGAGGTTTAGGGGATATGCGGGGCGTAGCCTTTGAGCACGGGCAGCGTTGGGCCGGGGGTTTGAGAGGCGGATAAAGTGCGACTTAGTCCAGTCGTGGCATGGTTGGCGCCCGCCAAGCAGGCGTTCAGTCGTGGCTGGGCTGGGAGCCTCCTAAACCTGGATCCTGCATGCAGCGATCTGGAATTCGTTGCGATAGAGATCTCAATGCGCGGTCAAAACTCGCCGGTCGGTATAGGGCTGCAGGGCAGTCGTCCCTCTGTGAAATTGCGCAGCGATGCCTTGCGACACTTGGACATTTCAATGTCGAGCTGATGCAGGTACAGCCCGTGTCCCTGAGCTCATCCCTTCGGCCCCCGAATCGCTGCGGATACTGGAATATCCTTCAGTTTGCTGGCTACGCGCCAGCCGAGGCATACACTGTAAGAAGCTTTCGATAACATATGAAACCTTACTCGCACGCTCCTCCACATTTTATCGAGTTGGTAGTGCACCTGCCTGTAACGCAGCGGTGCGTCCGTATGTAGGAGGGATACTCAGTCAGAATACGTTCGCTAGCACTCGTCTTGTTAGCGCATGAACATGAGAAACAGAGAACGCCTTTGGGTGCATCCTCAGGAGTTTGGGCAGATAGGAATGCTTCTTCGTATGTATGTATTGCATAGCCAAGACGCCAGGTCCAATATAATACTGGCGCGCAAGGTGGGTTCTCAAAAGCAAAACCAGGTGCCAATTCTCTTGCTCCTTCCTTTCCATCCCTTATCAACCGGCTCCATATCTTCTTTGGTATAGACATCGGTCTCAAGATCCATTTCGCTCGCTTTCCTAAACTTGGTCTTCTTCAGAAGTTTCCAGCCGACAATCATCAATAGGAAGATAGGTAGCTCCAGGTAGAAGCTAACGAAATCCACGGCGGCAAACTTAGGGCTGAATGACGACCATCCCTGAACTAGCACAATAAAGATGTTTAGGAAAACGCAGATGTAAGGGCCCCAAGGGTACATCCAGTTTCGGAAGGGTAGCAGGTGTTCCTTTCCTTGGGCTTTGAGACCTGCGCGGAAACGCAGCGAAGAGATGCCGATGCATATCCAACTCAGTTGGTTCGAAACACCTACGATGTTCTGCAGCCATGTCCATAGCTGGCCCGATCCGACGAAAGAAAGGGAGAAAAGTATAATGGATATCAAGCTCGTCGTCAAAACGGCGATCCACGGAACTTGGTATCGCGTCAGCTTTGTGAAGACCTTAGGCGCATGTCCATTCGCTCCGAGTGTGTAGAGCAGGCGGGAGCCGGCGTAGAGGGCGTGGTTGCCTGCAGATATGACACTGGTGAGGACTACTGCGTTGACGAATGATCCAGCCGCTTTAGATCCGGCCATTTGGAATGCGATGGTGAACGGCGATGTGCGCGATGACTTCGTCGAGAGACCGGGATAATCGTACGGTATGTTGAATCCAATCATGATAGCCGTAAGGATGTAAAAGAGCAAGATGCGCCAAAAGACGTTCTTCACGACCTTTGGAAGCACGCGAGCTGGATCGCGCGTCTCTCCGGCCGTGATTGCGATAGACTCAGTTCCACCGTAGGCGAACGATGCAGTCACGAAAACGGATGCGAAGCCTCCAATACCACCCACGAATGGCGCATCTCCAGCAGTCCAGAACTTGCCTCCAATATATCCATGGTCGGTGTTGGCACCAGCATTGACTGCGATGCTCAGGACAACGAAGATGACGATGGTCACCACCTTTAGAAGACTAAGCCAATACTCCAGCTCGCCGTAAGCCTTGACGTTGATGATATTCGCCAACACGATAAGCACCCATACGGCTATGCCAACAGCATACCATGGAACACTATCGCTCCAGTATTGGATCAACAGCTGCAAAGCGACCAGATCTGCCGCCGTACTGACAGCATCGTTGAACCAGTAGTTCCAAGTCAGCGCAAAGCCAAACGCATCGTCCACGTAGCGACCGGCGAATGTGCAGAAGGAGCCGGCGACAGGGACAAAGGCAGCCATTTCGCCAAGAGATAGCATGGTGCAGAAGACGATGAAGCCGACGATCGAGTAGCAGATGAGTAGCGAAGCTGGTCCGCCAGTTGCAAGAGCTTTACCAGTTCCGAGAAAGAGTCCAGTACCGATCGTGCCTCCGATGGCTATCATCTGTACCTGCCGGGCACTGAGGGAGCGTCGAAGGCGATCTTCGTTGACGAGATGAGATGGCATCCGGTCCAGGGATTCGGGCGATGCCGCCGCGACATCATGAGGATCTTTCTCGGGGTCGGTGGTCGTCATAGTTGGAGCGAGGTCTACCGCGGTAATGCGATGCGATGTAAGAGCTGAATCTCAGAGCTGGCGCATGGAAGCTTTTCATGGCGAAGCTTACTTCTCGACTGAGCACGAGCACGTTACCCATAATTCGCAGGCGAGTCAGCGATCATTACAATTCTGGCGCATTTCGCACAACTTGCCACGGAGCACGTCATTTTGCTCGTAGCGGATTGGTGGTGCGGGGGAAACCAGAGGGTCGGAAACATTTTCACTCTAAGTTTGCATCGCACTATACCACATACAGTTAGCGGTATATCCCTCTTGGATGGCTATTACTAAGGATGCCTAGGGCGCGAGGAAGCTTGTTCAAGAGCAACCTTGGACATTCGTCCGCTAACATAAATGGTCAGGGCATCTCATTCTTCATATCCTACTTGCCAGATCTCGAGTGCGACGACTTTGTCTTCGAAAACCGTCGAACTTGCATTAATCTCTACACGTCGCAGCGCATCGGTGAAAGCAAGACTTAGAGCTCCGGCGTTGATCCTCACTCCCTTGTTCTTCTAGGGCCATCTTGATCAAACTCCTTTGATGATATCCGCAGCCTTCTCCGCAACAGCATACATCGTTGCCTGCAAGTGCGCCGCTGGTATCAACGGAAGAATACTCGCGTCCACCACCCTCAATCCTTCTACACCATAGACTCTCAACTGCGGATCCACACATCCACCCAACTCTTCTGGCATCAGCGCACATGCGCCGCTCGAATGCGCATACGTCGGATCTAAAGCAGCAGCCTTGATGCTCGCGTCAAAGATCTCGTCGTCGGTCTGATATTGTGCGCCCGGCACGGTTTCGACAGGCGCATAGCGCTGCAGCAGGGGTGCGGTGGTCCAATGCTTTCTGTTCCAGCGCACGAGCTCGCCAAGTACTAATTTATCGACTGGGTTCTGGAATGCGTTCCGGACAACGATCGGATTTGCAGATGGGTGCGTGGTGTTAAGGGTCAGCATACCGCGCGAGAGAGGTTTCTGCACTGCGGTAGTTGCCCGACCCCAGGGTTGGATCGGGTATTCCCCTGTAGCCGCATCGTCGGAAAGGTAATGCTCGATGAGAATCTTGCGCTGTGCCATGAATCCCTTCAGCAAGGTATCGATCTTCGAATAGCGTTGTGGTAGGTAGGTGGTGGCATCTTGCTCAGAGATGAGGGCGGTTATGTCGGCGTACTTGTCCGAGAAATCCTTGAATGCGAGAAAGAGTGCGGCATTGCCGCGTCCAAAGGTCCATGGACCCGTACGGTTAGCTTCGTACAACTCGGCAGCTGTGGCGTTGAAGACTGGATCAGGTATTGTGACAAGCATGTCGGGATTGGGAATGGACTGGTTCGAGAGGTTGAAGCGCATGTACAAGGCTTGATGATCCTGGAAGTTCGAGCCAACAGCCGGAAGGTCTTTCTTCACAGCAATCCCAGCAGCAGACAGTTCATCCTTTGGACCGATGCCTGACAGCATGAGCAGATGCGGTGTAAACACGCCTCCGGCTGCAAGTATGACTTCTTTCTTCGCAAAGACAGATGCCTTCAAGGATTCGGCGTTCGATGTATACTTGACGCCGCTTGCTACGAGCGTAGTGCTGTTTTTGAACAAGATCTCATCGACGTGGGTATTGGTCATAAGATGCAAGTTGCTTCTTGTTTGAACTGGATCGTAGTAGGCTCTGCGAGCATGGCTCCGCTGCTTGGTGGAATTGTCAATGGAATTCGGCGTCCAGAACGTTCCGATGGGTCTAGTGAGACCTTCGGGTGAGTGAGGGATGTCGGTTCTGGATACGAACGATCCCATGATGTCGACGTAGTCTTCGTATTGGTAGTTGGGTATGGATACTTTGACTGGACCGTCACCGTATCTATTCGTGGTTAGTTACCGTACAGTTGAAATCGACATGAGCACGTACGCGTTGGCATCGAAGGTCATGTTGAAGTGCTGGCGGACTGCCTCCGAAGGGCCATCAAAATGAGTAGACTTTTTGAAGTACTTCGCGAGACCGTCATAGCCCCATCCCGGATTTCCTAGCTGCTCCCATGCATCGTAGTCTGCATCGGAACCTCTATCCCACTGCATCCCGTTGACTACTGAGCCACCGCCAACAACATTGCCTACATGCACCATCCAAGTCTTGTTCTTCATGAAAGGTTCTGGAGCAGAAGTGATGGGATAATAGTTCTCGGCGTTGATGTTGGCAAAGTAAGGCACGCTTGTCGTAGGTCTGTTATCGATGGCGCCATTCTCAATGACCAGAACAGAGACTTGATGCTGTCAGTGATGTAGACCATACTGCTGAGAGGCGTTGTGCTTACCATCTGCATCTTCAGTCAAGCGATTGGCGACTACTAATCCGCTGAGTCCTCCACCCACCACAATATAATCGTAGGTAGTTGACACTGGGGACGTCTGTCGAATGCTCACTGCCGCTGCTGCGGGTGTAGAAAGGGAGCCGATGAGCCCAACAAGGAACGTGTACCTGACTGACAACATTCTCGTGGGTTTCGTGATCTACGCTGTCATGGTGAGAAGATAGTGTCTCGTTCACGGCATTAAGAGACCAGAACCCTTTGCTCGGCACGTCCTTAGGTACCTGTGCCACAGCTGTACATTTACCCATGTCAAAGGTTAGAGCTCTCAATACCCCCGACCCGAGTCCACACGGGGAAGGTGGGATGCTGCAAGTGGGTCATCCCATACAAAAGGTCCCGTAACTTCAAACGAGTCGATGCGTTATTCATTTCGGTTTTATCCTCGATTCGACGGAGTGGTGTTGATCGCGCATCCTTCCGATGCGCGTTCGCGGTGAGCCCCTCTCTGGCGCTTGCCCCGGTGTTGAGCCAATTACGAATGGGCTTTGAGTGGGGCGCCAAGCAGCGGCAGCAGCTTCCGTCGCGTTGCCGAAAACCGATCTTTCGGCAGGTAGTCATTCCTGCCTCAACGTGCGACATCCCAAAGGCTGGCAGAGTATCGTGTCATTGATATCATTCTATTTACCTACGAGCGATCTATCGTTTACTCCGAGATCTCACATTCATTCGCGTTCCAACACGAAAACCCATGTCTTCTTGCTGTTCCCAAATCCCATACGTTCATACGCCGTCTCCAGCTCTCCTACTCCGCCTCCTCCTGCTCCTGCAAGTCCTGTACCCTCCTGTCGGCCTCAGCATCCGCTCCCTTCTTGCTCACAATAGCCTGCGCAATCCACGTGCTGACAAGCACCACCGCGCAGACCAAAGTGGGAATCAACATCCTCCTGCTCGCCTGCGCTTCACTGCAAATCTGTTGACTGTGATCATCATACCCACTAGAAAGCATCTCGAATATACTGCAAGCAGCGAGTTCGCGCGTGCAGTCGAAATACGGGTTGTAGTATGAGTATGCAGCGCTGGGTACGCATGCCTCGCGTTCCAGACGTTTCTTGGTCTCGAAGGTGATGATTGTGGAGGTGAGTGACATGGCGAATGCGGCGAGACCGAAGAAGATCGAGCAGGCTAGTACCCATGGGAAGCGTGAGCCAGCGGTCTTGGGGTTCTGGAGCAGTTGTCAGCAGGGCCTCTAGAGGTTGGAGGTAGTTAGGCATACCTTCTCCTTCATCATCATGAACGCCACCGTCAGCCATCCCACGACTCCGGCAACCAACCCAACACAACCGCTCACCAAGACCCAGATGTCGTTGCTCGTCACATATTGCATGTAGACTTTGTTGAAGTCTCTGTTTCCGGCGTCATACTCCTCCCAGTACGCCCTGCGTGCGGGTGAGCCAACGGGTCCGTAATATGTGTAGCTGCCTTCTGGATAGCTTGCGTCCATCGACTCGCTGTAGTGTGTGACGAGAGCGACCGTTGCAATCGAGAGAGCAAGCAGGGTTGTCGATGCCAGGAGGGAAGTGGCTTGTAAGGCCTTGGAGAGGATTGATGAACTCATGCCTGTATCGTATACAGTAACGTTAGGATGGAAATACGATGGATGACCTGGAAAGGGTAGAGGTCGGGGTGAAAGAATGATTGCGATATAAAGCACAAGGCTGGCAGCCCACGACTACTATATACAACCACGATAAAGCCGGGCGGGGTACACTCCACCGCGCTTTTCCAGTCGCATGCTGGAACGGGACCCGAGTAAGACATGCTTGATCGCACGACTGCGCCTCCGTCAGGCATCCCGCGTCCGACTTCTATGATCTCAAACCGACCGCCAAGCCCGTGCAGCGCATGCGATGAAAGAAGAATGCGCAGACATCGTTCGCACGGATACACTTGGTGCTGCAGTGTATCGGAGCGGAGTCTAGGCAGATCCTGACGTCGTCATAGCGACTACGCCGGGTTGTGGTGTTGTTTCGCCAATGGATCCTGGACCCGAGTTCGCTACCAACGCCACGTACGGTTACTTCGACAACAAAGGACTGATCTGTTCTTTTCGGTGCTCCCGTACTCGGCTCTACGGTCGCTGTTACTTCGCACTGTCTACGTGTCGGGTTGGAGAATTCTGCCTTGGAGTTGACCTCACAACAATGCACATTGCAACCAATACGGTCCGATCCATGGATAAGTATTGCATACCATATTGTTCAGCCTTGCATTCCTTTCCTATTATTCTCTTCATCTCTTATCCACCTCAATACTCATCATCATACCTCTGCTCGTCCCTCCCCTCATCATACGCATTCTCCATATTGTCACCAAACTGCTCCACGCCTTCAGTCATGTTATCCCACTTATTCTCGATATCCTGCGGTATGTCCTCCACAGCCTGAACCTTCTCGCCCGTCCACTCCGCTGCGTTTTCCGGGAAGTCCTCCACGTCCTGGACGCCGTTGTCCCACTTCTGCTCCACGTCGTCGCCAAAGTTCTCGGCGCGTCCGACTTGCTCGCCGGTCCAGCCCGCGGCGTTTTCGGGGAAGTTGCTGACATCGTTGCCGAATTCGTCGACGCCGTTGGATACGTTGGCTTTGGCGCTGTCCCAGCCGTCTTCTGTGAGGGGGTGTTAGAGATGATGTAGGTATGCTGAGTGAGTGGAGGGGTACATGCCGATCTTATCGCTCTCGTGCATCAGCAGTGCTCCGCCTGCAACACCTGCGACACCGGCTGCGGCGTACTTCCAGCCATTACCGCCGCTCTTCTCTTCTTGCTGCTGGCCGCTGCGAGTCGGGTCGTATGCGCTCTGCTGGTATGCACCCTGGTTGCTGTAGCCATCCTGGCCATAGCCATAACCGCCTTGTGGTGGGGGAGCACCGTAGTTGCCCTGTTGTTGCGCGTAGCCGGGTCCGGGGTACTGGAAAGTTCGCTCGCCGTTCTGCTGATTCACGAAGATCCAACGGTTTTCGCGTTGATCCCACTCAGCGTACCATGGTGGTGAGACTGGTGGTGGTTGCTGAGAGTGCTGGGGAGGAGGGTACTGTGAATAACCCTGTTGCTGTTGTTGGGGTGGGTATTGGCCATAGCCTGACTGCTGCTGTTGCTGTTGGTCTTGCTTGCCAGAGCTGGTGAAGTCGGAGATCAATTCGCTGAGGAAACCCATGATGAGTATGCTGTGGATGTCGGATAGAGTGAGAAGTTAGTGGAAGTTGTATGAGGACTGTCAATGTGGATGCAGGCGGGGTGAGGTATTTATTCAATGATCTACCTATGCCCCTCTTACGCATCAATCGGTCCACTACATCTGCAGCTAGATCTGTTCGAGATGGCCCACGATGCGTAACAAATGCGAACGGCCGGACCTTTGAAACGTGGCGCAATCTCGGTGAGGCGGTGAGGCGGTGCCGCTGTCCGGATTCGGTAAGAAGCAGCCACGATGGCCAGCAACTAGAAGTCGCTACAAACATGTCCGCTTCCATTCCATCAAGTTCAATCCTGAGAATCTCAAACGCCAACAAAAACAGCGATTTGGATGAGACGGCCGGCACTCGTTCACAGGATGTCAAGCTTCTTTAAGCTTTACTTGGCACGCGGATGGTCCCTCCCGGATGGGCTAGGCTTTGACAGCCCCACTTAAGCGATGATCTTGAGGCGCAGTTCAGGGGCATTTTAATGACGCGACGCGTTGCACTGCGCCACCCGGCCGAGATGATGAAGAGCAGACTGCGAGTCCAATGCTACAATACTCAGCTACGCAGGGATACATCTTTGTTGAACGCTTTAACCAATCATTGAAGGACGCAACTGAACATTTTCAAGGTTGCCTCCTGCAACCTTCAGTCTATGAGCGAACAAGGCTCAAAAGGCTACGTTGGCCGAGGGTTCATCCATGAGTTTGGCTTCGAATGTAAAAACGTAGATTTCGCGCGCTCGTTCAGTTTTACCCTTCCATTACATGCCGCTACAGATCTAGTCGGATATCTCGTAGAATCCCTCATCAGATGCCCCGCCAGACTCCTCGCCAGCTTCTTCGCCAGCTTCTTCGCCAGCTTCCTCGCCAGCTTCTTCGTCTGGTTCAAGCCCCAGTACCCAGTCAGTGTTTCGATGCCAAGCGCCCTCTCTCTGGAACGGCCAATCCTTGCACCACCGCGGAAAGCCGTCACGCCAGAAGATATAATACGGTCCGAAGTTGTAGACAATCTCTAGGCTCTCTCCCGGCTCTGCACTTCTCTTTCTGCTAGTCCAATACTCAAAGTATTCGATAATACTGGCGGGCAGTTGCTGGCCACTGAGTTCGAGATACACGAGCTTCGGTGGCCATGGTGCCTGTTCGAGCGTCTTTCTCTTCAGGATGTTCGGTCGATCGGGAGTGGTGGTCAGAGTGATTGTTCGTATATTATCGCATTCCAGCAATGCTGAAAGCGTGAGGTCAGAGACTCTGGGTGCACCATCGATGCGCACATGCTTCAACTTCGGTAGCGCTCTAATCATGGCCGCAACCACCTCGTCCGTGATGTCTATAGCCTTCTTACGCGATGGGTCGCCTAGGTATATCGACCAGATCGATCTTCGGAACTCCCATGGAGCTTCGGTGATTCTTTTTATCCTACGGCTGTTGTAGGTAGTACGTCAGCAGAACGTAGATGGAACGCTATGAGGTAGATGACCAACTTATAAACATTAACATCGCGATGGATATACACCATCGCCTTCCGCACCTGATTGAATGTTTCCGGTCTCCAGTCTTCCGCTGAGCGTATGATCACTGAGAAATACGGGTCCTCAATGCCATGCCAGCCTATTGGCTTTTCGGGATCGAGTCGTCGCCGTTGCTCGTTGACGTAGAAGTTACCTTCGTGGTCACACCCGTCCCAGAAAGCTAGCGGCCACTTGCGCTCTCGTGGATATTGCGCGTGGTTAATCCATGTAACATTCTCGACCTTCTTTGGGTACCCGCGGACCCAATCCCCGGACTTTTCTTGCTGCGACATGGTTTGGCTGAAAGTGGTGTGAGGAGAGACGGAAGCTACAGCACATGGGCATGATGGGCAAGCGAGCTGCGGCCAATGGCGGTGTAGCCGATCGACACGCGACATTATGGCCACGTGACCACGCGTCTTCGACCACGCCATTATCCCAAAGCGACAACAAACAACCTCAAAACAACTCGACGCGCTGATCAGACGCACCTAGAATTTACACAATGGTCTGGAAATCGACATTGCAACCTTAAGAAATCCTTCATCATGTTACCGTCCAAAGTCAGCGCGAGGACGGAATGTATGACCACCACGCGGCATTCCACAGCCACCAAGGGCGGGCCTTGCTGAGCAGTTCTCAATACGACAACAGATAAAACACACGCCAGCAGCCATGAGCAAGTTTTGGAGAAAAGCGCGCGACCCTCTGACGTGTTTCGTCGCCTTCACCTTGACTTTGGTCGGCCTACTTCGCCGCAGACTCTTACTATACCTATAGCCAGTCGTTTGTTATATCGCAATCTCTCTCAAAAGTCTTCTCCTCAACAATTTATTCTCCGCATTCCTTACACTGCTCTCTTGATCAATTCCCTACCCCTACACACTACCGGCTCATCATGAAGCTCCCCGCGATCTTCCTCCTTGCTCTCATAGGCTTCGTCGAGATCGCCTCAGGCGCCGCTATCACTGGTGTTTCCGACGATCTCACCGGATCTGCCGTCACCGGAGACTGTCACAACGGCGACGAGAAGTGCTCCATCCTCCCGATCATCCTCCTCGGCCGCCACTCCATCAAGCGCTGCATCAACCACAACTGGGTCGACCACGAGATCTGCAACGCCGGGGTTATCTGTATCGCAGACCCTTCACCTCACTGTACCCTCGCTACCATCAACGGTGAGATCGCTGACAAAGACAAGACCTCTGCTGTCGCCGCCAACGAGATTTCATCCAGACAACAGGTCTGTCTTGAAGGGACTCTGCAGTGCGCTTACCTCGACCCGATCAAGCGGCACATCATTCAACGCTGCTATGGCCGCAAGTGGGTTAACACCAAGGTCTGCGAAGCCACCGAGACCTGTATCGGCGGTGACGCGCCCCAGTGCGTCGCTCAGACCGTTCTGGCTCGCGACGAAGACGTCGACGAGAACATCGACGAAGACGTCAACGAGAACACTGACGAAGACAACATCGACGCCGTAAGTCCCTCATCCATCTTTTACATCCCAATACCCGTATACTAACACCCCCAGGACCTCGCCCACAAGTCCGACCTCCCCTGCACAAAATGTAAGAGGATGCGCGATGATTGCTTCAGAGTGGGTCAAGCCCACCACTCCCCACTCCCAGCGCCCTCTACTCCTCGCAGTGACTAACATCGCCGTAGAACCATAAGTGCAGAACAAGCTACTGCCGCCACGAATGCCTCAACAGGATGAAGAGGTATCTTGTTGAAGACGGTCGACATGGACGGTATCGCGGTACTTGTCAGGACTACTGCCCGCAGTTGTGTCGGTGATACGGAAGCGTGGGCTTCGGTCGGTTTTGCAGTTGCGTGGCGATGAGCATACCGTTGATATGAAGGGTTCGATGATTGGTCTTAGGATTGAGGGTTGAAAACGATGGTATGGATGAAGCAGACGCATATCGTAGTATAGCTAGTTCATGCCACGTAATGCGTAAAGACTCGGCTTATCATCCGTCTCTTCATTGGTTGTTTTAACATCTTCATAGTGACGCGGAATGATACCTCTGCTACACATATCCGTTACACACAAACAAGATCTCAAGCACCCTTACGACGTATGATGCACGAAACAGCCCTCTCATTAACAACCCACTCGCGCCAACTTTTCTGGGGTATCTAACCTAATCAAAAACCACCTTCTTCCCAGCCGCAGGCCCCTTACCCCCAAGATCAATCTTCAACTTCTTACTCTCCTTCGCCAACTTCGCTGCCTGCCAACTAGGATGCAACTCACCCTTATCATCCCTCTTAACACCCAGCCCCATCTTCCTATCTTTCTTATCATCCTTTCTGCCCAACGGCTCCGCATTACTTCCACTCTGCTGCACACCCCGACCACCGAGCGGCTTGCCCCTTCTTTGTCGCTTGTCGTCACCAGCAACGGCGCCGCGTTTGGGATCGAATTTCACATTCTGCTGTTGCTTCTCGAGATGTTTGGCTTTGGCGCCGAATTTCGCTTCGGCGATCTTTTGGCGCGCGCGTTGGCCGCGTCGGTTCTTGCGCGGTGCGTTGTCTGCGTCTAGGTCTGAGGCTTCGGATTCGGAGCCGGAGAAGTAGGCGGCGTGGCTGAGGGCGGGGAGGAAGGCGGAGGAGGTGGGCTTTTCGAGGGCGGCTTTGGTTTTGGTCTTTTTGGTGGGAACGGTGGCTTCGGAGGAGGAAGAGTCTGAATCTGAATCGGCGGACTCGTCGGAGGCAGGGGCTACTGATCGCGAGATGGCTACGGTGTCGCTGTTCTCTTCTTCGTCGTCGCTAGTGTCGTCTGGTTGTGCGACTTCCTCCGCTTCGTCCTCGCTGGCAGCTTCCAGATCGGCGTCAGGGTCGTGTTCGCTCTCGCTGTCTGCGATACTAGGCGGTCGCTCATCGCCGGACACCGAGCCCTCGTCGTCTTCTTCCCCCGAGGACGGCTCAGCTATCCGCGCGCTGAAGGCCATGTACGGGTCGTCTGCCTCGTCGCTCGCGTCCTTCATCTCCACGTCGTTCTTGTCAGCAGCCTTCACCCTTTGCGCCTTCCTCGCCATCTTTTCTTCCTTGTGCTTCTTCATCTCCTCCGTCGTGTATTCCTTAACGATCTCCTCCACCTTTTCATTGTCCTTGGCTTTGTCCACCCCAAGTATGCCCTTCAGGTCCTCGATAACCTGATCCACGGCCTTCTTCACCTGCACGACTTTGAACATTCTCGCGGTGACATTCAGTGTGCTGGTGTCCTTGCTTCCTTCTCTGATGCCGGAGATGTATTCCTGTAATGGCTCTGCATCCTTCAAGCTTTTGACTCGTGACAAAGTTTTGCGCAAATGCTGATCGCCCAGCTGCTCCAAGTTGAGCGCCTTGAGGACATTGTACTCGGCGTTCAATCGGAACACTGCCTCTTTTTGGCCCTTCTTGGTCGCATACTTCTTTCTGCGACTGTACTTCTGGCGCTCGAGCTGTGAAGCGTGGCGCAGAGCTTGGAGCAGCGGTTTTTGCGCATCTTCGAGGCGCTTCTGGCAGTACTTGGCTTGTTTCGCGGGGTTCATTATCACGGGAGGAGGGAGGTTCCCGGAGGCGGCGGTCGTCTCGCGCTTTCGTTTCGGCATCGTGGGCGTTGTTTGGCGGTGTTGCTGGTGTTGTTGGTGTCGGACTGCTGGTGGAAATTTTGGAGATGGGCGCGGCCTAATCGATAAGCCCGCGGCCAGACCTTCCCCATGTGGCCGCCCACCGCCGCACCAACCTTCCTTCACTCTCACTCTTTCACGTCTTGTCACTGTCATCACACCACGTGTCAGGCACTTCTTCCTGATATATTGCGATGATTTCAAAGAATTATACTAAGATGCATCGTGCAAATACAGCTCATCAGATTAGCTGACGCGCTTAGTGCGCCTTCCGATTCCATCACCCCTCCCTCCTCCCCTTCCTTCCATATCCATCTCAGATTCTGTCGTCATCATCTTCTCCTTCGCGTCTGCTGCTGATTGTAGAACCGCGTCTCTGGCATCCACGGGTGCTGAGGCGGTCCACTGTCAGGCGCACCTCCGCCCCGTCCGCCATCAGGAACAGCGGGTTCAGCATCAGCATACTCGCTTCGGCCCTGCCCTCGTGGCCGATCACCAAACTCGGACTGCCCTCCTTGCTGCAGATGAGGATCCGCCTCTCCGGGTTGTGGGCCGCGGGCGTTGTTCATAGCGGGCATCTGGTGGAACTCGGGTTGCTGCTGCTGCTGCTGTGGCGGCGGCGGCGGCGGTGGTTGAGGATCGCCCTGACCTTGACCCCGGCCCTGAACCCCCGGACCTCGAGCTGGTGGTGCTTGGTTCGGTGGATTTTGGGCACGCTGCGGGGCAGGAACGTCGCCATTGTTGCCCCTATTGTTATTATTGCCAACGGGTACGAAGCCTGGCGGACCGCCGGCCAGGTTGTCTGTCTCATGGTCAGCTCTTTCCTATCGGTTCTGCTTACTACATGGCAGATTGTACGATTTGGCATTCCTATCATCTCTTCGCGCGGCCTTGAGTGTCTGGCTCTCTGGTCTATTTGATGAGTTCGCCGACTGTTGCTCCATTCTTCCCAGATTGATGGGACATGCTTGCGTACCCAAAACTTCTTCGTTCGTGCCATCGTTCTTGGTGAGAATGCTTTGGGTATAGGAAGAAAGAAACATCCATTACGATCTTATACTGAGGGATAGTGACTGCTGAGAGAGCATGGAAGAGGAAGTACTGATCCAACACTGGATGCGGAAACGTTTCACGAAATGCCACTTACCACGTCGTCCTGACCCGTTGCGGTATCGTCGCCGAGCAGCACCATTTCGATAACCACCATGGCTCTCATCGCTATCGTAGCCGTCATCGTACGCGTTCCTTCTGCGTCTTGGTTCTTCGTATCCAGGATATCCTCCATATGTAGGATACCCTCCATATGCAGGGTATCCACCGTATCCACCGTATGCAGAATATGAACCTGCTTATTTAGCAGTGAACTAATAGGCTATTCTGAATACCTTACCGAAGTCAATGGGAGGCGGTGTCCTACTTCCCCCGAAGAGTCGTTTGAAGAAGCCCATGCTGTTGACACTATGGACACAGGAATTCGATGATACACAGAAGACGCACTAGTGGGATGTCGAAGCTGGCGTCAATAGGAAGAGTCCTTGTTCAGTATCGTCGATGAGTGGAAGAAGAGTGCTTTGGCACAGAGAAGCGCAGTGGCACTATATGGACCACGGCTGAAACGGTGAAGATGCGGCAAGCTTCAAATATCCTACTAACAATCACAGTTCTCCGTGACATCCTATCCATAGACGATACCCGTGATATAATGGAAACCAGCACAATCCACTCTACGCCAAACGCCTCCGAAATTGAACTGTATTCCGCGAACAACAAAACACAACGCCGCAGAATCCACGATCGCCCATGATAATAACAAGATGCCGAAAATGCCAGCACTCAAGGTCCTTCCGCCTACCCTCGCGCACCAAGCTGTAGCGTTTAGCCAATCTTCTTGCCCGATAAATAGTAGTCCTTGGTCTTGAACACCGGTTTGATCGCGAATGTTGATCTTTCGTCGGATTTGTTCGCTGGAGGCTTGAACGTCTTCTGGCGAACGAAGTCGGGCTTCTGCTCGGCTTCTTGTTTGCGCTTGTCTTCGTTTTGGCCAGTGTAGCTTTCGGTAGCCTGCGAAGCTGCATTTTCCTGTGTAGGCTTTTTCTTCTTGTGGACGACTAGGCTGTGTGTCTTGGTCTTCTTTGTAACGACTTTAGGGCGAACTTGGTATCCTTTCCCGGTATTGACGTTGTAGGTCACGAGGTGTCCCTTCTCTGATTCCGGCTTCATATATGCGGTTACCATCGTGGTGATGTTCACGAGGGATTTCTTTGATGGATGTATCTGGATCTTGACAGATAGTGTAGGGCGAGCAATCGTTTCCCGGAATGGCAGATATCGACCTAGTGGTTGTGGGAGGTGGTTTAGCGAAGGAACAAGGCACGCCAACGTGGCATTTATAGATATAGATGTGTGAGTTCTGCGCCCTTCGCATACTGTACTTGATCTTGGGCATTCCAGAACCAGCGTTTGATTTGGATCCCATTGACCGTACTGGCAGGCTATGCGATGTACTTCGTTCAAAAGATTCACGGTCAGGACGTCCACGTTCATTGAGTTGGTGTGACATCGAGGGCGACAACTACGCAAATGATTGACCTCAACCAGACTTCCATCTTCACGATTGAGTCACATACACAGCAATGTTCATCGGTACGAAGGTGGTCAGTCGGTCAGTATGCGCTCCACCTCCCCACAACACATGCTGACCTCTTGGAAAGCGAGGTGCTCGAGCAGCCTTTTGAAGTATAATGGCAAGACTTGGTTCATTGTACATGAAACGAAAATCACTGTATGACTAACACCAATTGACTCATAAGCCGGTCTTGCGTAACCCATACGCTGACAAGTCTACCCGGCCATAGATTCTACACTTTCCTTTACCTCAACATCTCTAGATGATCCAGCACCCGTCTTCCAACTCATCCATGCTCTATGAAGTCGCACTACAATACACCATATCTCCTACGCTAGCTCCAACCTCAGCCTCCATTACCCCATCCCGGACAACATCGACCAGAACCATCGTGCCACCGCTTAAGCACATACAAACATTCGCCTCTCTC